ACAGGGTCCCACTATGTAGTTGAGACTGACCTGGAATTCAGTATGTAACCTAGGCTGGTCTTGAACTCATAGTGATCCTCCTGCCTTAGCCTTCCGAGTGCTGGGATTACAGGCATGCGCCACCATGCCCAGCTCCTGAAACTTTTCTTTAAAGCTATCAACTCTTCATAAACTTTTTCTTGTCTGTGTTGGCGATTGAACCCAGGACCTTACTGTGCTAGGCAAGTACTCTGACCTGAGCTACACCCCCAGCCTCATGAACATCTCAATAGTGGTCTTCTGGTGCTTTGAGTAAAGATATCAGTATCTTTTCCTGGATATTAGCTTCTTCTAAAATCAATTCCTGTGTTTAGTAAATATCCTGTAGTAGACATCTTTGTGCCTAACGTTCTTTTCTTGATTTTGATAATTTCCTTAGGTTGCATCCTAAAACTGGAGAAAATGGATCAAAGGACATGGATGGATGCCTTTAAGTTTCTTAATATAAATATGGCAACACTTTTTTTTCCCCTCTTTCTTTCCGCCTCAGTCTCAACCAGCCTGCAAAAGCCCTCCGCTGACTTCAAACCTCTTCAACATCTATGGAAAGAGCCCTCTGATCTCATACTTCCTCCAGAACTATTCCGGGCTGCCCCAGCATGGCTGGGATGTGTTGATAACCAGAAGGGAAAGGACCAAGTGCATCCCATATCCTTGTCACCGCAGGTGGGGCATGGAAGCAGGGCTCAGGGAGAGGCACAGAGCCTGGCACCAAGTAGGTACTTGGGGTGGCCTTCGAGGTGAGCCTCAGAGTCAGAATCTTGCTCATCTGAGTTCTAGATGGCAGAGCAGCCTGTGAACTGGCTGGGAGACCCTGAGCAAGTTGAACTCCGGGGGGCGGTCTCTTTCCTATATACCGGAATGAATGGGCTAACGAGGTACTAACCTACTTTGAAACTAACACTTGTCAGGTGCTGTGTCCTGATCAGCACTTTTGGTGTCCAGGTGTAGTTCATCTAATGCCCTCCTCTCACACACCTCTCACCGGGCCCCATAGCTATTTATCCCAATGATTAAATTTTAAAACATGGATTCAGATCTCAAGGAGACAGATGTGTAATGTGTTGTTGTCCTGAGTCTTAGCAGTTTATGGAAGAGGTCAGGACAAGAGTTTTGCTTGGGATTAAATTGAACTCTGGAACCAACTCTACCACTAACTAGCCAAATGATTTTAGATAAGTATCAGTTTCTCTATGGGACTCATTTTTTTTGGGGGGGTGGGTACCGGGGATCGAACTCAGGACATTGCACTTGTGAGGCTCATGGCATCTGTTTTGGTTTTTTGAGACAGGCTGTCACTATTCAGTCCAAGCTGGCTTTGAACTCACCATGTAGCCCAGGCTGGCCTTGAACTCACGGTGATCCTCCTGCCTCAGCCTCCCCAGTGCTAGGATTACAGACATGTGCCACCATGCCTGGTTTATTCCTATTTTATAGTTGAGGAAATGGAGACATAGGGGATGAGGGATGTCTTGTCTGAGCTCCCACAGCTGGCAACAGCCGTAGCTGAGACTCTAACCCATGGTGGAGGGAGGGAGGGAGCAGAGATTGCTTCAACAGGCACACTTGAGACGGAGCTTCTGAAAGCAGAGGAGAGCTGGGTGTCCTCCTGTTTTCCCCATGCCGGGGACCCTGCAGCAGGAACTCCAGGTGACAGTCTGATGGTGCCTCCTGGCTCCTTCCAGTAGGTGTGGGCCGAGGAAGAAGGGTGTCTTAGAGGTGGGGACCCACCAGGCTGCAGCAAACAGGCCATGGCCAATAGCAGGGGCTGCCCCCCGCTCCGCACACAGGACTCACACAGAAACTCAGGGCATCCCCGGACCGTGCCACCCCCCCCCCCACCAG